GGGGGGGAGGTGCCCAGTTTGTCACAGGCCCAGTTTGTCACAATTTCATTTAAGTATTGATGACAGTGATAATTACAGCACTTTATCCCTGTAGTTTCAATTTGTTTTTGTTTTTATTTACCTTCAAATTGGTGGTGTAGAGAGTAGAGGGATAGATTCTAGATATCTAGAATTTAGATCTAGATATCTAGATCTAGATCTAGAATCTAGATCTAGGGGGATCTTGTCCGTACGTTTAAGTCCACAATCCATTTGTTTACATCCAGAGAAGAAGTCCAGAAGTCTTGATGACCAAATACTATTTGAAATAGGCTACACAAAGAGCAGGGATGCAACCTAACTGCAAAACATCAAATTAGGATAAAATTCAGGGGGGCATGCCCCCCTGAATCCTCCCCTCCTCCATATTTTTTTTTTAGGTCATGGGGGCAAGCCCCCCTGTAACCCCCCTACTCCTGACTTTAACGAACGAAAGTACGAAATCGCCAGATCTAGATCTAGATTCTAGTCCCTTCTAAAATGTCAATTCAGCTTGTACAAGTGTGTTGTTCAATATTTCTTACTTTTTGTATGTGTGAATCAAAGCAAATTTGGTAATTGTTTACTTTTTCGCATTTAATTCCAGGGAGGATTTCCGTAACGAGCGACCACTCTGAACTAGATCTATATAATAAAATATTACACTCAATCATTACTCAATGGCCATAAAAACCAGTGTTGCCAACGGACGGAAGGCCTCCAGTATGTTAACCCTCGTCCTGCGGACGCCGGGTTTATGTCGCCCAATAAACCTATTTCGGCACCTCGCCTGCGTTCTGGTCCCGCGTCAGTCTAGCCGCTGGCTCAGCGCACGTGCGCCGAGTACTATCATCTCCCCTTGAATTTGGGTCCTGAGTCAGATCCGCATTCACGCAGCTCAAGTGTGTGTGCGTCAGTCTCAGGGCTTGAAATAGACCGTGGCACTGCGGCAATTTGCCTTGGTGCCTTTGCAATTTGCCGTAATGCCTTTAAAATCAAAAGGTCAACCGTGGCAATTTTTGTCGTGCCCTTGTTTTTTTGTTTTAAAAAATGTGCCGCCATGAAAATAAATCAATAATGACCCTGTGCTGTCACTTGTGGAAATAAAAAGAAAAGAATGTAATACAAGCGTCTTGTTCGCCACCGTGGCAGGTCAGTGAACCTGCGCGTTGGTATCACAACTTAATCACAAGATAAGGCATCGTGTGAGCACTGGTTGTTGGGGTCACTTAAGTTCATTCAAAGTCTGAACTCCGCGAAGTATGGGA